CCACCACCACCCCCTTTCAACAATATTGCATGGTTTTATAAGGTTACTAATTTTCTTTACTTTATGTCCCTGGAATATAAAGTAAAGATGACAGAAAATCTTATAAAACTGCAAAATATTGTGGTGTTGTGTGTGTGTTTATTTAAAAGCAAAACAAAAACTCCCATATAAAGTTCAGTCCTTACCCCCTATATCAATATCCTGGCTCCAGTCTGCTTTGGGATTCCATGATGAGTATGCCAGAATAGTGTATGTTGGGGCATCAGTCACAGAGAGTGGAGTCACCATTTCCTGGCTGCTCTGGATGTCAGAAACCTTGTTTTAAAAGGTAAGTTTTCAGCTGAGAATGTGTTGAATGTCTCTTTGCATTTATATGGAAACATTCAGCATATTTCTAAAACGTATTTGTATTATGTTTGCATTTTTAAAATTTACTTGTAACTTGACATAGCTCAAAGTCACATTTTATACTTGTCCTCTGTCTAGGCCTTCTTTTCTCTTATTTTCCTGTTGTTTAACCCTGTATTGTGTTTCCAGAAAAAAAGTCTTGTTTTGTTTGTCTACTACCTGGAACAAGATGGTAACTAAATTCTGTTTAATATCATTCTCAATGATCTGGACAAGGGCACCCTCAGCCATTTCAGAGACAACGGCAAGCTGGGCAGGAATGTTGATCTGCTGGAGGGTAGGAAGGCTCTGCAGAGGGATCTGGACAGACTGGATCAATGGGCTGAGGCCAGTGCTGTGAGGTTCAACAAGGCCAAGTGTCCTGTCCTGCCCTTGAGTCACAGAAACCCCAGACAGCGCCACAGACTGGGGGAGGAGTAGCTGAAAGTGTCCCAGCACCTGGAGGTGCTGGTCAGCAGCAGCTGAACGTGAGCCAGTGGTGTCCAGGTGGCCAAGAAGGCCAATGGCATCCTTGCCTGCATCAGAAGTAGTGTCTCCAGCAGGACAGGGAAGTGATTGTCCCCCTGTACTTGCACTGGTAGGAATCAAAGCATCTGGAATCCTGTGTTCAGTTCTGGGCTCCTCACTACAGGGAAGACATTGAGGTGCTCAAGCGTGTCCAGAGAAGGGCAACGAAGCTGGCAAAGGGTCTGGGACATAAGACCTGTGTAGAGCAGCTAAGAGAGCTGGAGGTGTTTAGCCTGAAGAAGAGGAGGCTCAGGGGAGACCTTAGTGCTCTCCACAACTACCTGAAAGGAGGTTGTGGCCACATGATGGTCGGCCTCTTCTCCCAGGTAACAAGTGCTGTATGTTTCTGATGCAAATATACCGTCATAGGTCCAGCCTGAACCTCCTAGGCTTCAGTTTATAACTAATCTCCTACATTTTATCATTTGGTATTTCTGAGAATCTGCAAAACAAACATTTGTAAAAGCAAGCCTATTATGTATAGAAGTTATTAGGCAGCTGTGTAAGTAGGGAGTTCAGTCATAGCTTTCTGAGTTATTGATTTGCCCTTTTTCTTCTTCTGGAAAAAAACCACAAGACTGTGTTAGAGAATGAAATTGCATAAGAAAAGAAATGCTAAGTTTTGTAGTGATGTGTCTTAAGGTTATAGATACATTTTTCATGTTTTTTTTTTTTTTACTATTTAATATTTAAAGGAATAATAGCTTCTGACCTCTGCAGAGATCTTGCATGTTTGCGCAGAAAATCAACTGAACTTCAGTTTAGAAGAATGCCATTTGACATATATTTGTTTTGTCTTGACTTGTTTCTGGGGAGAGAAGATTCTTCTCATGGCTTAAATTTGTCTATGTTTCCATTAACAGGTTTATTGTTAACTCCAAAACCCAAGTAAGAATGATGAATAATTGGATAAAGGGAAATAATTTACATATTTAAAAATTATGTTGCTATAAAATTTACGTTGAAATTTACAGTAAAATGTATAGTTTTCCAGAAACTATATCCAGTGGGTGCTATTTTTCACAAATTCACAGAATGAGTCAGGTTGGAAGGGGCCACAGTGGGTCATCTGGTCCAACCTTCCTGCCCAAGCAGAGTAATTCCAGAGCACATGGCACAGAATTTGTGTCCAGATGGTTCTTGAATATCTCCAGTGAGGGAGACTCCACCTTTCTGGGCAATCTGTTCCAGTACTTGGTCACCCACACAGTAAAGAAGTTCTTCCTCATGTTCAGGCAGAACTTCCTGTGCATCAGTTTGTGGTCCTGTTGCTTAGCACCACCAAGAAGAGCCTGGCTTCATCCCCTCAGCACCCTCCCTTATAAGCATTGGTGGCATCCCCTCGCAGTCATCTCTTCTCTAGCTGAACAGGCCTGGCTCCCTCAGCTTTCCTCGTGTAGAGATGTGCTCTGATCCCCTCATCTGTTACCCTCCACAGCTCCAGGAGCTCCATGTCTGTCTTATACTGAACACAGCACTCCAGATGTGGCCTCCCTAGAGCTGAGTGGAAGGACAGGATCACTTCCCTCAACCTGCTGTCAGTACTCATCCTAATGCACCCCAGGACCCCCTTGGCCTTCCAGGCCACAAGGACACACTGCTGGCTCATGGACATCTTGTTGTTCACCAGGACCCCCAGGTCCTTCTCTGCAGAGCTTTCTTCTTCCCAGCAGGTCAGCCCCAGCCTGAACTGGTGTCTGGAGTTATTTCTCCCGAGGTGCAGGACCCTACATTTGCCTTTGTTGAATTTCAGGCAGTTTTGCTCTGCCCATCTTTCCAATCTGTCAAGGTCCCTCTAAAGGTCTGCACAGCCCTCTGGGGTATCAGCCACTTCTCCAGCTTTGTGTCATCAGTTAACTCACTGAGGAGGCCTCTGTCCCTTCATTGATGATTATTAAGTCATTGATGATTATTAAGTTAATACAGTACTGAACCATGGAGGACACTGCTAGGAATAGGCCTCCAACAGGAGCTAGCTCTCGAATTCAAGGGGAGGGGATTGGTTAGGTTTTTTGTTCATTTTTGTAATCAAGGAGAAAAGTGACTTATATTTGTTCATAGTTGTTCTTCTGTGAAGTGTTAGTGAAGCCAATATAGCCTTGAAGTCTGTCCTTGACTTGAGTGTTCTACTTGTATCTGGCTGCCTGATACAGTTACCAGTCTCCTGGTATTTATGTCTCATAAATACTGGTTTTTTTCTATTTCAGCTGCAATCTTAGCCAGTTACTCTGAGAAATTATTAATTTCATGATGTTTTTACTCTGTAGTGATTTTTCATATCTTTTTAATTCTACATTTTCACACATCATCTTTGCTGTATCAACTGCATGTACTGCATTTCTGTATCACAGTAGTGGTGGTATTGTTTATTTTTGCTATTTGATTTTTGTTTGAGACAATCCACTAGTACTCTGTAGTATATAAATTCATCCTTTTAAAGCTGTCTATGAAATGTTTTCTATATCTTACAAGAAAAATCTGTGCACATAATATCCTTTCATATGTTAACAATTAATTTTGTAGATTACTGACGTTAGGAGATGATATCAGATGCCCCAGTAGGTTACAGTGAACACAAGGGCCGTTTACTGTTGCAGTGGCTAGTGAAAGGTTTTATGCTGCGGTGTGTAACATGTGCAGATGTGACTGGCCAAAAGTGAAGGAAGTTAAAATACAGTTTGCTGACTTGTCTGTGTGTTCCACAGTGATCATTATGTGGTAATGTGGTGTAATATCCTACTTAAAATCTTTGCTTTCGTACGTTCAATTTAAGAATTAAGGAGTAACTATTTGGTTTGTTATGTAACATGTAAATGATTGTTTATAAAAAATAGATACCTGGTCTTCAAACAAGTGCTTAGCCTGAGTGATCTTGCTGTACATTGGAGAGATCTGCTGAAATGTGTAAAAAGTCCTTAGGAAGATCATTCTTGTAGACTGCTGAAAGGCAGCTATGGCAAGCTTTATCCAGATTTTCCTGCCTTACGTTTCTTGGTGTGCTAGACCACAGGAAGCTGTGAAGGATATAAGAGCTGTCAAAAGCTAAATATGTATATGAAATAAGTAAGTTCCCAAGTCTTCCTTCTTTTTCTTGCAGAATCATAGTCTCTTCATTGTTTTACATCCTTTCTGACAAGTCAAGAGCTAAAATCCTCGTTTATATAAAATGCAGAGTTAGTAGTGTGGCAGAAGTACTGGAGTACATCACATCTCTTTTATAACAGTTACATATATGTGCACTGTTCCGTTTTTTTATATAATGAACTACAGAATAAAGTTTTGGGAAGAAATATTTACAAGGGTTATCTATGAGTGTTAAGGGGTGAGTTCTGCAGCACCATGGTTGTTATTTCCCAGTGTCTTTTATCTCATTTATACTTTCCTGATTTAGGAAAACATTATTTTTTCATACAAGATTGTAAGATTACATATATCAGTTTTGAAAATAACACCATTTTTAATTATACATTGAATTAAAAGCTTGAAAGTTTTACACTGGAAAACTGGTCTTTGCTGCATAGTCTGTTGCTTCATAAAAGACCAATTTGCAGAACTTTTCTTTTAAATAAGCCCTTTATCTAGAACTTCAAATAAAATGTAATGCAAAAACTGTGGAGATTTTATCCCTGAAAATTACAGATTTTTTTTTTTTTTTTACAAATAAATGAGATTAAGGTAAGATTTCCTGTAGAAATTTTGTCTCTGATTGTGAAAAGTTACATATGTGGTTGATTTCCTTGACCTGAATGGATTACTACCTATGCTAGTTACCCACCTCAGTAATTTTAAATACATGGTGTGTTTGCAGGATCCTGATTCAGTTTTAAGTTTGACCTATAAAAAATTAGCATACTTGCAGCATTGCTTTTTTATCTAGGACATTCTCTCCCTAGTTTAAAAAAAAGTTAAAGTGTTAATGTCTTACATAGCTTAAGAGTAGATGTAACTCTGAAACTTCTTATTATTTTCTTCTAGTTACTTTCATCATATATTGTATTAGTGTACAAGGATTATTGTAGTACTAATAAAATCTAACAAGATTCAGGTCTAACACAATGATAAAGAAATGGAATTTATGTTTTCAGGGAAGATGGTACCACCGGAAGCAAGCAGTAAAGGAATTGCATGGTACGTTGTTACGACTGCTTAATGAACTGTTACCATGGGAACCAAAGCTAATTAAAGCATTTCAAAGAAACAGGTAATCAGCTGCTTTTTTTTTTTTAACAATGGTGTATGACATGAAACAAGGAACAAAATTCGCTTTTTACAAACTAATCAATGAATTGGCTTCTCTCAAATAAGATAGATGAAAATACTTTGAAGAGAGGAGTGAGGCACTGGTAATACTTTAACTGAAAGATTTTATGTTCCAGACCTATCATTTTAAATAAAGTTGAGTTAACCCTCTAATGCCTTTTCTTCTAAAATGCTTTAGAAACGCTAAGCATGCCTATCTGTAGTGTATCACAATACAGCTAGGATTTGTACTGCTGCTTATTTGGTTAAGAGATGCTGAAAACCTTTCTCTAGAAAACTATACTAGGGCTTCTTAGAATACTCTGCTTACTGTCTAAACTTACCTAAATTGGCTGTTAATGAATTCTCCACAGTGCAATTCTTGAAGCATTGTTTTGAGGTCTTGGTAACCCTGTAAATGAGAAATGCATGTGGAATGAGACATGTCAGAGGAATACCAGTGGCAGATTTAAATCTAGTAAGGGCAAGTATTAGTAACAATGAAGATGCTATCCTGATGATAAATCATGGAGAGATTAGGTATTGTCTTAAAGCTTGGTGCTGTTACTGTTTGTCAGCCATATAGCTGTTACTATAATCATACCTTAGTTTTGCCACAAAATTAAAAAGCAAGTAATGACTAAAAGCTTGAACTCTGTGACAAAGGATCGCAAAAGTTAGGCAGGTGCTTAAACACTGAGTGTAAACTTACAGCTATGTGGGGCAAAACTAATATAGAAAAGTGTAAAAGGTATTATGCTTAAAAAACCATAGCAACATAACACTAAAGACAGTAAATAGATAGAAATACTAAGAGTTTGGTTCCTTAGTAGCTCATTTTATGGATATCATGGATGAACTAAAATTCTTATTTGGAAATTTAGGATATTGTTAGCATTTTGCTTTAAACAATCGATCCAAGTACAAATTTTGTTTTTTTTCTATTCCTTTCTATGCACATTTCTGTTCATTTTCCTTAGCTGTTCATTTTTCCCTGTTTTTGTGCAATTTAGACTCCTTCTGGAAATAAGGCAGATAGTATTACTATTGGGAAGGATTTAATTTTCCAGTACATGGGGTGTCCAGTTTTATCCTTTTTGTAAATTCTACTGTGGAATGGTTTGATGCCCAGTATTAGTTCTTGTTTAGTGAATCACAGAATCATTGAATGGTTTGGGTTGCAAGGGACCTTAAAAAGCATCTAGTTGCCACGCCCCTGCCGTGATGGAGTTCACGGCCCCATCCAACCTGGTCTTGAACACTTCCAGAGATTGGGTATCCACAGCTGCTTTGGGCAACCTGCTCCAGTGCCTCACAAGCCTCACACTCCAGAATTTCTTCCTAGTATCCAGTCTATGCCTACTCTTTCAGTTTGAAACCATTCCCTGTCACTACATGCTCTTGTAAAAAGTCTCTCTCCATCTTTCTTGTAGGCTTCCCTCAGGTCCTGGAAGGCTGCTGTTAGGTCACCCCAAAGCCTCCTTTCCAGGCTGAACAATCCCAATCCTCTTAGCCTTTCCTCAGAAGAGAGGTGCTCTAACCCTCTAATCATCTTGGTGGCCTCCTCTGGACTTGCTCCAACAGTCCTTCCTGTGCTGAGGACCCCAGAACTGGATGCAGTGCTCCAGGTGGGGTCTCACCAGAACAGAGCAGAGCGACAGAATCACCTCCCTAGATGTGCTGGCCATGCTGCTTTTGATGCAGCCTGGGATACAGTTGTCTTTCTGGGCTTTAAGTGCACATTGCTGGATAATGTCTGCCCTCTCAGACTTACTAGCATCCTTAAGTCCTCCTCAGGACTGCTCTCAGTCCCTTTTTCTCCCCAGCCTATATTGATACTGGGGGTTACCCCAACCCAGGTGCAGTACTTTGCACTTAGTCTTTTTAAATCTCATGAGATTCCCATGGACCCACTTCTCAAGCTTGTCCATGTCTGTCTGGATGGCATCCTCTCCTTGAGATGTGGCAATCACACTGCTCAGCTTGATCTCATCTGCAGAATTTACTGAGAGTGCACTCAATCCCTTCATCTATGTCATTAATGAAGATATTAAATAACACTGGGTCTGGTCTGGACCCCTGAGAAACACCACTGGTCACTGATGTTCATCGGGACTCTGAGCCATTGACCACTATCTTCTGGAAGCCACTGTCCAACTACTTTCTTATCCACCTAACAATCCACTCCTCGAATCTATCTCTCTCTCCAGTTTACAGAGAAGGATGTTGTGGGGGATCATGGCAAGGGCTTTACAGAATTCCATATGAATGACATCTGTAGCCCTTCCCTTATCTACTGCTGTAGTCATTCCCTTGTAGAAGGCCACTCGGTTGGTCAGGCAGGACTTGTCCCTCGTGAAGCCCTGCTGGTTGTCCCAAATCACCTCCCTGTCCTTCAGGCACCTTAGCAGAGCTTCTAGGAGGGTCTGTGCAATGATGACCCCAGGCACAGAAGGGAGGCTGAGACGTCAGTAGTACCCTGAGTCCTCCTTTCAACCTTTTTAAAGATGGGTACAATGTTTCCCCTTTTCTAGTCACCTGGGACTTTTTTAAAGTATCATGAAGAGTGTTGTGGCAGCTACATCAGCCAATTCTCTCAGGACTCTGTGGTGCATGTCCCACGGACTTCTGTGCATTCAGATTCTTCAGGTGTCGTGAACCTGATCTTTGCTTACAATGGAAGGGACTTTGCTCCCCCAGTCCCCTTCCTGCTGTCCATCCACTCAGGAGGTGGGGGAAGAGAGTCTGCCTCTTGAAGGCTGAGGCAAAAATTGTTGAATACCTCAGCCTTCTCAATGCTGCAGTTTTCCAGCCTTGTCTATAAGAAGGGGCACACCTTCTTTGACCTTCCTTTTCTGGTTAATATATCTGTAGAAGCCCTTCCTGTTATGCTTTACATCCCTTGTCAAGTTCAGTTCCAGATTTGTCTTTGCCTTCCTCACCCCATCCCTAGAAAACCGAACTTCATCTCTATATGCTTCCCAGAGTACCTATTCCCATTTCTGTTGCCTGTGCATATTCTTCTTGCCCTTCAGTCTGACCAGCAGTTCCCATCTCACCCGTGCTGGTCTCTTGCCTTCCTTACCTGATTTCTTGTCCATGGGTATTTCCAGCTCTTGTGCTCTGTGAAAGACTTCCTTAAAGATCTGCCAGCTCTGATCTGCTCCCTTGTCCCTGAGGGCAAGGGCAGTTTCCCAAGGCATCCTGTTGACTATCTCCTTAAAGAGCTGGAACTTTGCTTTCCTAAAGTTCAGGGGCCTAATTTTACTCCTTACCTGACCCATATCCCTCAGGACTGCAAATTCCACTGATGCATGATCCCTACAGCCCAAGTCTTAATGTCCCAGATTAGCTCATTACTTTGGTGCCCATCATATCCAGTATCATATCCCCTCTGGTAGGGCTGCTGTCTTAAGAACCTATGGGCATGATGCCTCCTGTAGCTGGAGCAGGAAAGCTTTGTCAATAGGCAACCCTTGATCAGGGGCCTGTAATGGAAAACCAACCACAAGGATCCCTTTGTTGTCTTATCTCTGATTGTTACCCACAGGCTTTTGACCTGCTCGTGGCTGTTCTTCAGAGACAGCTCTTCACACTCAAACCACTTCTTGATGTAGAGAGCAGCCCCTCTGCCTCTCCTTCCTCCCCTATCTCTTCTGAACATCCTGTAGCCATTGATAGTCTCACTCCAGTCATGTCCCAGGTTTCAGTAAGGCATCAAGACCATAACTTTCCAGCAGCACAGTGGCTTCCATCTCCTCCTGTTTGTTGCCTATGCCGTGTCAATGTGGTTATAGAATACAGAACTGTCATTTAAAGTGTGTTCCAATGTTATATATGAGCTGTGAGTGATAGGAGTAAATTTTAATCTGGACCTTACAAGTATATGTGCTGATAGCTAGAGAAGCATAGGTAACTTCTGAGATTAATTAATTCAACTCATATTTCTTTAGTATTTATCTTTTAGGCTGTAACCATAGTTTATTCTACAATGATAGCCTGAATATTTCCATGACATAACTGTTTGGACATACACCATACACACAGTGTAGGAGGGAACAGCTCCTCTGAAAAACAGTGTTTCTAAATCATGCGGAGGAAAGAAAAATGGGTGAGGGATTCTAGGTCAATGTCTTGATCTTGTTCATTGTGCAGCTTCTGTAGCAGCAGTGACAGTGATGAAGAAAGGTATCATGTAAAAGGGAAAAAGCAATTGAGTGAAATTTGCTTATGGTGGTGTAAACATCAGTACCACAAGTCTTGCTGTCAGTGTTGTGTCTATAGGGTATCTCAGTGAGCTGCTAACGACTACTAATTGAACAACAGTTCTGAACTTCTGAGTTGTGGAGGCATGGGCAGAGCTCATTCCTCCTTATACCGCACTATGGAATAAGGGTCTGGAGTTTTCCTTCCTTTTTTATTGTCTTTAACTAGTAGGAGCACACTTTATGATCAAAATCGTTTTCTTTCCCATCTGAAAGGTCCTCTGGTCTCTTCAGAACTATGATAGAGAATAATCTTGAATGGTATTTGAATAGCAGCAAGGTTTAAAACAAAAAGTTACTTGTGCCCACTGATTACAGCTGTATACTGGCCACATAGCAGAAAAGAAGAAAAGAAGAAGAAAAGGGAATTCCATCCAGAAGCTTAAATACAGTAGTGGTTCCCTGGTATCCTTCTATAATTCTTCCACACCTGGACTCCAAGCTCAAACCCTAATGACAGAGTTGAAGTACTGTCCACACTGCATTTTCATGCAGACTTTAGTGTTGTCTTTTCTCAGTGAGGGTGCCAAAGCTGTGAATAAACAATAACGTCTCACTGACTCTTAGCAGGCTCACGTGGCCTTCCATCCACACCACATGTCTGTGGGTCCAGGATCCCCATTTCAGGTCATTCTGCAGCCTTCAATCTCTGCCAGTTTCTATTCCAGTTTCCACCTCAACTACATCAGTTACTGTGCATGGCCTTGAGTCCTGCTGATCTGGACTGACTCTCAGACTGACCTACCTGCGTCGACATTATGGAGCTGTTCAGAAATCATTCAACTGGGTCCTGACCCTGGCAGCTACTGGACCTGGTTCTGATCTAAACCTTTGAACTGATTTCCCAGCTTGGCCTCAGACCTGCCTCAGCACCAGGAACTTGCTGTTAGTCTGGGCTTTTGGTTGAAACCAGGCCTGCCCTGCTGCCTCATTCAAGGGCGGTGGTATGGTGTGCTGGTTGGTGATGCTTGTGCCCTGTGAGCTGTGACATCATGCTGGCTCCTCCCTTGCTGTCTCTTAGAGAGCTACTGGCCATTGCTGCACTCAGTGCAAACAACTGTTATTTTAATGCAAAAGAATGGGTAAATTTAAGATCTTCTTCGTAGTGTCATAAGGATTAGGTCCAGAATAGAGTCTTGATTCTGTTCCATACAAGGTGCTAATTGCTATAATTTATTTATTAATTTGCTAAATAATCCTGGGTATTGTGTTGGTAATCACCAGCTGAATCGTAAAGTTAACTGTATTTGTACACTAAAATACCCACTGGATCCCACCTAAACAATGGTTTAGAAGGGACAATGGAAATGTAGCAGTTTAGCAGTATCAAGGTAAGTGGATATGTTTCTGGATGGTGTTCCAATGAGTAAAGTAGCTATGTATTTCTGTTATGTGTGAACCTATGGAACTGGTAGAAGCAGCTGTTCTAATGGCTCAGAGATAAGAAAGTGTTCTCTAAGGAGAAAGTTACAATGCAGTCCCGCAGCTGGGCCAACAGCATGATGCATTCCAGAAAAACGAGATTTACTTACTTCTCTAGCTGGGGTTGCTGTCAGAGGAAGCAGTAGGATTGTTACAGTTAATACTCAAGTCCATATAGGTAGGTTTGTCACTATGGAAGGCCAAGGAAGAAACAGAAGATGGATGAAGTAAAACAGTGATGATCGTATTTGACTCAGTCTTTTTGCTTATTGTTAGAGAACTTAATGATGTAGGATTCTGTTTTGGTAAAGGAAAGGACCTTAGTGTCACTTCAGATTTTCTGGGTTTCAGAGACTTGCAGACAGAGCTACACTGAAATTTTTTTGAGGGGCACAGGCAGTTAAATCTATACCAACTTTTTGTATGGCAGCAGATACAAATAAAAATAATGTTTAAAACAGTGTGGTTTTAAAGTAAAGTTAGTTTTGTTATTTTCAAGGTCTAGATTGAAGAAGGACTATGATGACTTTAAAAGACATCCAGACCATGATAAATTTACCAGAGAATTGTGGAGTAATGATGAAAGTGAAGTTGATTCTGGCAAAGAATCTTTTGCAGTAGTATGCGGTAAATCACCAGAGTCTGCAGAACATGTAGAAGTTCCCATAAAAGATCACTCAGACAATGGTAAGCATTTATTGGAATTCAGGAGCTTGAACTTGATGCAGGAGCTGAATCAAGGTGATTTGGGAACTCAGTTTTTCCATGTGAGCTTGTGTCCTGCTTTTTACCTTTACTACTGTGATAACACCAAAATAGCTTGTGATATGCATCTGACTTGAAGAGGGCAGACATGACCAAGATGAAAATTCTGCTTTATTTAAGTGTTTACCATTTCTTTTTGTTCTTAACTGTATCTGTGATAACATGGTAGACCTGTGTGGTATTTACTTTTATGGGGGGTTGACCTTAGCTGGCTGTCATATGCGCACCCAGCCACTCTGTCATCCCTCTTCCTTAATGGGGCAGGGAGAGAAAACAATATAGAAATGCTCAAGGGTCAAGGTACAGACAAGGGGGATCACTCACCAGTTACTGTCACAGACAAAACAGACTCACTTGGGAAGAATTAATTTAATTTATTGCCAATTAAAAATAGAGTAGGATGGTGAAAAACAAATATAAAAGCTAAACCTCCCCTCCTTTCCCATTTCCACCTTCTTTAAAGGCTCATCTTCATTCCCAATTCTTCCAGCTCTGCCCCTGCCAAGTGGTACAGGAGGGATCGGTACTGGGGAGGTCAGTTCATAAGAGTTAGTGTCTGCTGCTCCTTCCTCCCCCTTGCTCCAGTGTGGAGTCCCTCCTATGGGATACAGTCCTTCACAAACTGCTCCATTCTGGGTTGTCTACACAGACTAGAGTCTTTCAGGGTAAGACTCTGTGGGTCCCCCATAAGCCAGAGTTCCTGTCAGGAGCCTACTCCAGCATAGGCTCTTCATGGGCTGCAGCTTCTTTCAAGGCGTATTCGCCTGCTGTAGAATGGCATCCTCAACAACCTGCAGTGTATATGCATGTTCTGGCATGGTCCTTCATGGGAGCGGGTCAACCTGCTTGATCATGGGTTGCAGGGGAATCCATTCCAGTGCCTGAAGCACTTCTTTCCCCTCCTTCACTGACCTTGGTGTCTACAGGGTTGTTTTTCCTACATTTTGTCCTCACTCCGTTTTGTCATACCCTTGTGCGAAGCATTTTGCATGAGACATCACCAGTTTGGCAGACAGGCTTGACCGTGTCCTGCAGTGGATCTGTTTTGGAGTCAGCTGTTTATGGCACAGGGCAACTCCTGGCCTCTGCCCTCATAGAGGTGTCCCTGCTGCTCCACACATGGCCCCTCTGTCCACCTGGCACCCCTGCCTGCTTCCTCAGCCCTCTTATGCACTTCATGCATCCCCTGGTCACTGACTGGTTCAGCTTGATGCTCAGTGCGAAACTGGACATTCACATCTCTGTCCTGCAGGCCCCCTCACAAGTCCACCTGTTCTGCCAGCCCAGAACCCGAGCCCTCCTGTTTACCAGCTAATCTGTCTTGAAATTCATCAGTGAATACACACACACTGCCCCAACGCACAGCGGATTTGGGGAGGATACAGACATTCACGCTGCAGCAGATTGCACCAGGCACACAGACTGTGATCTCTTGCAGCCATCCTTGCAGCTCCCCCTTCCTCTGCACATCCCTTCATGGATTTGTATAGCTCTGCCAATTCCCTCACCCCTCCCAGCCCAGTCTCCAAGATCTCCCCTGGTTTATAATCATATCAGGTGCAAAGTCCAGGTTGATCTTCCTGAAGAGGGCATCTGCAGTTTCTTGATAGCCCATCAATTGGTATGACTGGTGAGGCTGTTTCTTGTCATTGTCTCCATTTTTATTTTGTTAGATCTGTGTCTCTGTATATATTTTTTTTCCTGGCTTCTCCCTTTTTCCCCTCAAAATAACCTTGCTGGAATAAACATTCTCACATTCTTATATGCCATTAACAATTGATGTGAATGACCAGGTTTGGTTTTCCTCACTGTCTCCCATTGCTGATCAGGTTTCAGTTCCTGAACTGTTTTTGTTTATTACTTGCTCCTTTCCTTATTACCCCCTTTTTCATTGAAAAAGATCCTTGACCAGATGCCCTTAAAGAAGCATACGTTTCCTTCCATGTACCTGTACTCTTGCAAATACTGCCTTTATTTAGACTTTATATAATTGTTTCAGTTTCAAACATGTAAAATGCAGTTTCTGTTTTAATATCCTTGCAGATGAAATGAAACCATTAGAGATGAATTTGCCTGCAGTAAAAAACAGAATTCTGAAAAAAGAATCATCTTCTAAAGAAATCCAGAAGACACTGCCCAAATGCATTAAACGACAGTTCAAACAAAATAGTTGTCTGGATCAAAGCACTAATGAGCTTTCACCGAGGAAGAAACCTAAGCTGAACACTGTTGAGACTGTGGTCCAGAGTTCAGAAAGCAGCCTGCAGCCAGATAATTGTTTGACTGAGCTGAAACAATTTGAAGGGTCAACTTTAGAGTTGTTTTCCTTGACAGATCCTACAACATCAGTATCAAACTTTCTGAAAGGGACCAAACCCATCCAGGCCTTGCTTGCCAAGAATACTGGGAACAAAGTGACCTTAACAAATCAACCATCGCCTCCCCCAGGCATAAATGTATCAACTTCTGAAAAGTCAGTTTTACCACCTTTGGAATCATCAGTGATCAAACCAGCATTGCCCTGCCAGGCCAGTTCAAAGACTCCCTTACAAATGGTATACAAAATGCCAAATGGCCACTGTGTACCAATAGACCTTCAGAATAGCTCAGTGAAAATTCAAATGCAAACTGTGACTGACCCTAAAACTGGAGAAAAAGTCATGCAACAAGTTCTTATTTTACCTAAGAATTTTCTTCAGCAGCAGGAAGGAAAAATTGCATCCAAGGATGTTCAGCCACTACAGCAAAAATCATCTGAGCTGCACTGTGCATCTTTACCAAAAATGTCAAATGTCAGTGTTTCTTTAACACCTGTTCTCATGACAGGCTCTGCAAATACTACCACTCAGTCACCTACTACAATTTTTAGCAAGAATATTACCCACTCGTCACAAGTGACTGGTTCCATGAACACTACACTATCGTTGCCTGATGTAACTTCAGCAGGTAACTTACTATCATCAACAGTTAAGGTGAACCAAACTGAAACTGACAAAATCAAGACTACAGTTTTGACTGCTACATTCCCTGTGTCTTTGACTTCATCTACTCTTTCCACATCTAGCCAGTCCTTGATACCAGCAACAGCATTAAGTGGGTCTGCGAACACTGATTCTGCCTGTCATAGTCTTGCATTGCAGCAGCCAACTGACTCCTGTGAAACTAGGCAAGAGCTGAAGACTGTATGTGTAAGAGAATCACAATCTATTCTGGTAACAACACGAGGCGGAAACACAGGCATTGTTAAAGTGCAAACAAACCCAGACCAGATTTCACCTAGTAGTTTATCTTCTAGTCCAGTTTTCACTTACACTTCTCAGCTTCAGGCCTTTCTTGCGCCAAAAACCACAGCATTATCATACTCTTCTGTTCCATCTCTAGCAACAGCCACATCTGGTCTGCAACATAATGGACAATCATCTCTTTCTGGATTTGCCCCCTCAACAGCTTCTTCTGTTAACATTCCAGCTTTCCCAGCTGATTTTACTCAGGCAATAGAGAAAAATACCAAGTTTGCACTACAGCAGCCTGCTGTTGGGGACACTTCAGGTCAAGTAATAGAGAACTCCTGCTATGTGTCCTCTTCTTTATCCACCATTTCTTTAGCTAGCAACATGATGTCCACAACTCCAAACAGTCCTGTTAGTGTGACTAGCACTGGACAAAATAACACTACCATAACTCCAAATTCTTCTGTACATCATCAAGGGGATACTAAAATCAAAACAAATTCTGTTGTGCAATCTGAGTCTAATTCAGCAACAAGTGGAAGTTTAATCAGTGGTGCTCCGGTCCAGAAATTTACATTAGTTACAAATTCACCAATTTTGTCTCCCTCTGGAGCATCAGGAGTCAGTATTATACCCTCTCCACCATCCACTGTTGTTAATGCTCAGAAGCTGGTTTTCATTAACACACAAATTGCCAGTGGCCCATCAACCACCAATCTAGTTGCAGAGTCATTGAGACAGAACCTTCCTTCTCCCCTAACCAAAACCTTTGTTAATGCCACAGAGCAACCACATTTGGTTTTGATCCCATCTACAGTAGGAGCACCAATAAGAATAAATTCATCGCCAACTGTTGCTCAAGTAAAAGATGTAAAAATTGGCTTAAATATAGGTCAGACCATTGTAAATACTAAAGGCAATGCACAGGAGGCCCCACCAGTTAATATATTGCACTCTGCCATTTCTAAGGGAGAAGACAAAAAGGGCATTGGCTTGGCGCTGTCTTTGACAAGTAGCAGTACTGTGGTTCCTGCTCCAGCTTTTGCTGTGTCGGCTAATGAATCTGTATGTGTTGCAACAAAAGCTGAAAATGCCTTTACAACAGCAAATGCATGTGTAGAATCTGTTTCAGTAACATCAAGTGGGACTTCTTCTGGGCCACGGCCCACTGTCTTGAGTGGTCGCAGTGATCCCTCAAGAATAAGGCCAGTTCTGGGTAATCGACTTTGTACATCAAGTATTGGAAATATGGGTATATCAACTGTGAAAACAGGACATCTTGCTTCATCTGTGCTGATTTCAACCACACAACCAACAGTATCTCCGCAAAATTTAGCATCTGCTTTGCAGTTTCCATTCATTAGCTTGCCTGGATCTGCAGCCGCCCCCCAAAAGGTGTTACATACATTTCCTCAGATAGCAACAGTTCCAGCTCATCTTCCAGTATCAAAAAGCCAGTTGCCAACACTGCTTCAGTTTCAGTCATCAGGAACTTCAGCTGCTATGGCAAGTCACACAGGTATTCACAAACCTCAGACTGTGTTGTCCTCTCCGTCACCAAATGCAGGTAAAGTCATTAGTTTTCCTGGTTCTTCTGCCCTAAAATGCCAGCAGGTGCCTCCCAGTACAGAGAAACAAAGTCATGCTTACACTTGTGCTTCTACCGCTCAGATGTCTGCAGCTTCACCAGCTGTAACAAGCAAAACAGGAGGAGGTCAGTTGAATGAGTCTTGCATTCAACAGAAAATAGTCATTAACACCTGTATGCCTTTGGCACCTGGAACTCAGATAATGATTAATGGTACTCGTTTTGTTGTTCCACTGCAAGGCCTTGGAGCTGGCAGCCACGTTCTTCTTCTTTCCCGTAATACAAAACAGACTCCTTCAACTGCTAACCGTGGTCAAGAGGCTCAAGGTGTACCAATTGTTAATCCAATAACCTCAAAAATCATCTTAGCACCACGTAATTCATTAAGTTGTCAAATATCAAAACATCCTTTGAAAAGCTCTACAAAAATTATGAACTCTATTGGGGCTGCAGATGCTTTACCCATTGTACATGCAGCACCCCAGATATTTAGTACTCCAGCTAGCTCATCTACTCCACTGTCTGGGGTAGCACTGTCTGTGTCTTCAGTTACAAAATCTCCTATTAATGTTGTAGCTACATCTTCTGTTGTTTCTGCTGTTCATCCTCCGAATTCTCATTTGCCAAGCAACACTTCAGTGTTTCACTTAGGCACTTCTATCAAAAAACTGTTGGTCAGTCCAGAGGGAGCCATTTTGAATGCTCTAAATACTCCAGCACCAAAAGTTTCTTCCCTGTCTTCATTGCTGCCTCCTGTTGTTGTGTCCACAAGCAGAAATCCTACCACTGTCTTCCCTGCATCTCAGTCATCTTGCCTTGATAAATCTGACAAAGCTGCATCCTGAATTTACTGCAAATGAGCCACTTTGAAATTTTGGGGCATTCCTCAGACTTTACAAGTTGTAACTATTGGATAATTTCTTACAGTGTATGAACCAGTTGATTTACTCAACATTACTTAAGGTTACAGTTCTTTCCTGTTCACCTGTGGGGATTAAGAGGAAGAAGAATTTTAGTGTGTCAGAAGTTTTCAGAGAGTACTTTAGTAAAAAGGTCAGAAATGACCAGTGAGTTCATTAAACTGTTTGGAGAAATCTCACCTTTTGCACATGTTCCATCTAACGTTATGGACTGTTTGCCAGTGTGTTTTTGACAGTGTATGTCTTCTTTGTAAAATTAATTTTTGATCTGTTTCTTTAAGGAAAATATTTATGCATTGTAAAAATGCAGTCTATAGTATAGAATTGTACATGTTCCTGAATTCCTAACAGTCCATACTAAACAATATGTACAAAGAACTATGCTGTCTTATTTATGTTTGGTTTACATAATGTATAGTTTTTTAAGTATTTTAGTAACTTTGGACCAGTGTACTGTTTAGCAACTGCAGAAGAATCTGCATATAATAAATCAAGTTGCTTTACTGCTTCGTGTTGGCAATAGTTAAAAATATGTGTATCTGTTACACCATGGCAGAATACATGCATACATACATACATACATACATATATGTATGTATATGTATATATATGTATGTATTTATATGGGTATGTATGTGTATACACACATCTTTCTTTTGGTGTGTGGCAGAATGAAATTATTTAACCTCTTTTGCTTTTCTCTGCTTTTACATTTCACATGATTTGGCAGGATTTGGAAGGAAGGCCTTCTTGTTGATCCTTGTGATACAGGGCGGGATAACCCATACTTCATCCGTTCTTAAGAATTATGTTTGGTTATATTGCCTAAATAACTCCAGTGATGTGGTAAGGCTACAAGTGGCTTTTCAGACACCAGTTTAAGTCACACTGGTTGCTGTTAAGGACTACCCTGTTTTGTCTTAAAGCTCATAGATCTGTTGAACAGTTCATTGTCCTCTTTTTTTATAGTCTTGTATGCATTTCCACATGTCTGGTAACTGTAACAAGGTCACTCGTTGGTCTTCTCTCTAGCCATAGCAAACTATCCATTTCTTTTCACCAGTCATACTTTCTAGATCTGAATATTTTTCTTTAGCTTATAATTGGTCTATCTGGAATGATAGCACTAAAGCATCACACAATATTAATGGAAGCTTTATTAGCGCTTTGGGGATAATAATACGTTATATAAACCTTCCTTTTTTATACAGTGCATTCAGTATTTGTTGACTTAGTTTCAGCTTTGGATCTGATGAAACCTTTGGGTTATTTTCTGCAGATCTGCTGAGTTCACAGCTGCCTCCTGTAGTGCTCATGGAGATAAGTTTTTTGGCATCTTTTGAGATTTTGCATATAAAGAAATGGTGCCGATCTTATTTTATGGAAGATGATGATTTTAGAATTGCTATCTTTGTATGTGTTGATTTTTTGTAGAGTTTAGTATTTTTTAGAAACTAGAAGGGAAGATTTCAGAAGAACTTATAAATGATAATTGCCTTTTTAATAGCTTTGACTTCAAAGGGGATAAAAGCTTACATATCTGTATATAGAAGAATTTCTTAGGCTGAGTTTCAACAAGATGAAACTTCAGCCTTTGCTCTTCATCCTATTGAATTTCTTCTTCCCTTCCCTTTTTGCCATACTAGTTTGGCAGTTTGGATGTTGAGTTGAAGAATAGGACCACAGCTTACTCCCTCTGTGTCGGTTGCCCTTTATATTGTTCTGAAAAGTAACCTGGTAGCTAGTTAGCTAGAGGTCTGGGAAAGTGGGGGAAGAAAGGCTTGTGCCTTCCGTAGGGACCTTTCCTTTTGCACTAACTAATAAAATTGCATTGGGAAATTGCATCTTTCCATCTTATCTCAGGGCTGGGATAGATGGAAGCTTTCAGTTTGGGGATTAGAGAAGGTTTGTTTAAATTTCAGAAAAAGCTACCTGCTACACCTTTGCTACTTCTCATTAAAGGTGTTTTGTAATGGATTTTGAAAACACCTAGTACTAAGTGTGTCTGCCCATCGGAGTTCACAGTGTTAAGGATTTTTAAATCTGACTGCATATTACAGTTGAATGCTTCAGTGACTTTTCCAACAGAGGAAGATGGCAGAGAGTGGCAGTTTCTTGGACATTTTACATACTCTAAAACCATATATACCAGAAGCTGATTAACTTGCCTGAATGATTTCCAAGAATTTTTTTGAATTAATATGATAATATTCTATGATTTTTTAAAATATTGTATAAATTGGAAGACATGTACTTTACAACATGAAAAGTTTGAGTCAGCTTACTTAGAGTTTTCATGGACTTTTAGTCTGTACTAGACGTGCTCAGATTCCAAGTACTATTGGAGAAGGACTTGAGACTTCTATGTAATGGGCTTGCATCATTCATTATGTAAAACCAAATTTTAGTAATTTTTTTGAATAAAATTCCTATTCCCAACATTGTTCTCCAATAATATAAAAGTCAGAGGTAAGGTTTTGTTTCAAATGCAAGTAGCTAACCATTGACAGTTGGCTATGTACCTTTTGCTCTCTACCAAATGCATAGTGCTACTTGTAACACAAAAAGAACTGTAAACAAGTGGATTGTATTCACAGACACAGTGAAAAAGCAGAACTACCTGCATCTTTACTTGAAGTTAAAAAGATATTTAGTTACACATATAAACATAGATATATAGATCAGCCTTTTAAAAAAAGGTGTTCAACTTTTCAGAGCTTGCTTGTAAAATGCTTTACTTTTAGATCACTTCTGATATTATATACAGCTATTCATACATTATATTATATACAAACTTTGTGTTTATAAATTACTGTGAATATTTTGAATTACATCCTTTATATTTACCTAATTGAACATGTTCTGCACAATAATTTTGGTTTGCTCTGAGTAGAAAATTATGCTTCTTTTGCTTCACTGTTCAAACCCACATGTGTGAGCTGCCATTTTCTCTTGGGGATTCTGCTCCTACCACACTAGGAGCAATTAAATTTCATGTGTATTAGTTGTTATAGAAGTATCTGTTCAGATCAAGTGTTTCACTGTTAAGTCATTCAAGCCCATGCTCATTTCACTGTGTGAGGTAGCAAAGGGTACAATGTGAAAAGGAAAGCAAAAATTGTCCTGGTAAGTGAAGAGAAAATAATTTGTCTTATGGGAGTAGGTCAGAAAATTACTAAAAGCTATCATTTGAAAGGCATCCATAGCCTTACCACAGATTTAGTTTCATAGTTGGTTTTCCTTCTGTTTTATGGTAGTGCAGAATTTTAATTGCCCAAAATGGTTTTAAATTAATTAATCATTTTTATTAAAGCATGAATGTTTGTTATGATGAAATTGTTTCCTTTTAAAAGAACAGCCAGAGGTGCTCAAGAGGACTCAAACTCATGTAGCCTGTTGTCTGTAAGCTGCACCTGAAGAGAGTGAACTGACTCAAAGTAAGATTAATAATGCTGCATCAGACTTTAGGTCCATCATGTCTCTTGAAGCAGTCAACAGTAGCATTCCAAAAGAGCACAATAACAGGCCTGAATAATCTTCTAGTGTCCCCTAATCTGTGAGCCAGAGTCTTCCTCGTGCAGCTGTGTTTTTCTGCAATTTAATATCTTTTCAATGTATTTCTCTTGATGAAATGGACCAGTCCTTTCTAGAATTCTTGAAAGCATGCAAACAAACTGTTACCATCCACAGCACTCAGTGGTAAAGAATTTGTAAATAAATCTCCTTTTTGTTTTCAGAACCTGGCACCTGCTAGTTTCATTTGATGCAAATAATATTTATATTGTAAGATGCAATAAGCCTTTGCTGTTTAGTCATTTTTCCATGTGGCCTGTGTAGACCTTTGCCATGTTGGTTGTCTCTTCTCTAGAATAAAGAGAAATAGTGAATTCAATTATTTCTTATATGGAAGTAATTAGTTGCTGTCATTGTTGTGTGTGCCTTTTTCAGTTTTACTGTGTCCTTGTGGGATCAGAAGAGTGCATGTTCTAAAAGCACTGAATCTATTCAGCAGTGTGTTTATATGTCTCATAATTATTTCAGTGTTTGTGGGTTGGTTTCTGACTATTATTTAGCCTTGTACTAACTTTTTCATAGAAATATTAATTTTAAACTGAATACACATCAGTGTCAAATTCATATCATCCTATAAAACAATACCACTTGCAGAATATCATGGCTGTAAAAATATGGTCTTTAAACCAGACTACTGAAACCAGTGCAAGTCTGACACTCTCTCTGTTTCTGTTTTCATATGGTTTAGTTCTCTTGAAAATGTAAAAGGACAAGCAAACTTATTTGGATGATGGTTTTTTAACTCTCATTATTTTTATGCATAGAATACAAAGTTAGGTTTGTATATTAGGTGCATGGTCATTTTATACAAATTGCCATCCAGATAAAGATTTTTTTAGTTGTTGAAGGGGCTACTTTGTAAATGTGATACAGAATGTTGTTATTTTAAAATATTTTCTTTGAAACCACAGTGCATAAAAACAAACTTTAAGATCTTAATAGACATGTATTTTCTTCTTTTCTCAACATATGGAATTGTCTGGTCAATAGACCTGGGTGTCTGGCATAAACTTGGTAACCAGGACACTTCATTGTTTCCTATGTGATTGTTCCAGAAGTTCTTCAGAAAGTTGGTGTTCTTACATTCTCTTTTATTACAGTCTCAGCTGAACTAAACATGTTAAGTGAAAATGGTATGTAAAAGCAGTGTAAAGGGAATGCAATGAATTGCTTATAGTATTTCTTGAAATTATGTTTGTTACACAGAAGGTCTATTAAAATTTGCATAAATATGATTTTCCACCTTTTGCAGATGAAGGCAATGAAGTACTGAGTTTTCATAGCAACATGGAGGAACTGGGAATAGAATCCTTGGTCCCCTGAACTCCTTCCAACATCCCATCCATTACTAAAGGTTAGACAACTAGATTACTGCTTTATTTTCCCCTATTCTTGCTTTTTACAAAAAAGAAAAAAATATTTAGAAAATTAAATTGTTTTCAAGAATGTGAGGGGCATTGGCAGCATTTATAAAAATTAGATAGCATGGGAAAACAAGGTAGTAAAGAAACAACTGTGATTTTTGTGATTGTCTTCAGTCTCTACAACTTTGCTTGTCAATATCTATATCATAAAAAGAAGACAATACTCTTTTTTAATTGTTCATATTGAATCCATCTAGGAAATACACAAGTATAAGATCAGACTACTTTGGCTGTTAGTAGTCATCAGCATCTGGTACCAGCATGTACGTTGAGATCCATCCACATAATGTGCTGTTATTTGTAGAATCATTTCTCAGGTTTTTTTTTAATCACATGCAGCAGTGAAATAAAACATCAGAGAGGGATTAGTGACAGGATATTACCATGTAGCCACGGGGCATCTTCCTTTTAATAAAGAAAAAGAATTATGATGTATTATTATTATTATGATGGATTCAATTTACGCAGTATAAAAAGCGGGTATTTTTACTATTATAATCAATTACTGAGAAGAAGGAATTGCTTACATCTATTTATGAAAACCCTTGTCAATTCATATTAGCAACACACAAATACTAAAATTACAGTAATTTCAGGCTCGTCTGGCCAGTATTCTGTAGTTCCATAGTGCTTTTCTGCAAAGTGATCTCAGAAGAATTAAAAATGGGAGAGGCCTGGAAGTAATTTCCTCCTTCCATGGCCTAAGAAATTGACGTAAAAACATTATCTTTTGTTAAAAACCAGCCCATATTTGAAGGTGAGCTTCTTACTTTAGCACATGAAATGCAAGTGATGCGTTTCAGTACAGCAGTCCAGTCCTTGTATGAGCTGCACCTTAGACTGAGCATTTGTCTCACTATAGTGGCCAGCAGAGAATGCTTAGTGGGAAGAACAAAAAATAATCAAGTATGAGTTAGTTTTCCCCAGTGTGTACACACATCATAAAAAAGTAATGCCAGGAGAATTTTGTGAACTCAGCCTGAGTTTGTCTGTGACATGAAAGAGCAGATTTTGCAGCCAAAGTATCAGATACTGGAGAAAGCTGAGCAGTAATGCAGAGAAGCAGAGCAGAAATAAAAATGACATAAAAACATAAAATTGCTTCTCCAGTTTAAGAAGTGGTAGGAGAAGCTAAACAGCTAAACAGAATCCTGCTAAACAGCAGAAGTTTTGAATGAGGAGCTGACTGAAATATCATTGTTGTCCTTCCTGTTGGTGAGGCCAAAATCTAAGAAGTGTAGATTACGTGGGCTGCATATCCCAAGAGTTAAAAATGTAAGAAAGACAGGTTTCTTAAATCTGTGTCAATACCAAAAATGTTCAGAAAGAGTTTTCTGGAGATACAGAAAGAGGAGTAATAGGCAGGTATCTAATACCTTCTAATCCTTGCAAGGATTCCTCTACAGCAGATTAATGGTCATGGAATTTTGGTCAGGGTATTATTATGTTACTTACCATACAATTTCGTTGGTTTTGTGCAAATCCTGAAGCAGTTCCAAGTTTTTTCTGAATATGTTTACCAGATGATAATCCTAAAATTCCTCCTGAAAACAACAGCACAAGCAAATCCAGCACTGAATGGTGTCTAAAAAGGGCAGCTGTTTCAGTCCAGAGTGTCAGGAGCAATGAGATGGTTGGGGTGCATGTGATGGTATGCAGAAATAAAAATCAATTACTCCTGCCAAGGTAAGTGGGAAAGGACAAACTGATAAACTTGGAAGATAAACTTTTTCTTAGAAGGTGCTTTTCAGCAAAAGTGAGTCAGATCTTTTCCCTACTAGGCACAAGAATGCAATGGATGGTAAGGTAAATTAAAAAAAGAACCAGGAGAAAGGAAGACTGCTGTGTAAGCAGAGAACACAGCAAACATGCAGCAAAGCAGTCTGTTTTCTCGCATCCAGAAATGGAAGCTAGCAGAGTTGAAAAGACCTGACAGAATCATTGAAAGACCATAGTATTTATACTGGGCCATCACTCTGTGTCTTGTACTAATTTGAACTCAGTTCATGTTTGATTTTAAAGGCAAGAAAATGTACTCTTATGTCACATGAATACATAGATGTACACCAACAAAGTAATGGATATTTTACCAATATTAGACATAAACATGAATCAAAATATTCTGGCAATGCTATATTTTACTGAAAAAATAGCAACCCATATGGCTAATACTAATACAGTGCTTAAGGCCAAGATAATATACCTAGATCCCCAGCTGCAGCACAAGTTAAGTGGAAAGAGATTGCTGAGATGAATGTCGCTGGACTGTCTACTAACCAGGTGCAAATGCCAGTCCTGTTACACTAGACTAGTGAGACTCAAAGTAAGTGCTTCCTTTGGAAAGTTCTTGGTACATTCTTCTATCATAGCTCTGACATATCTGAAGTATACCTTTCTGGCGCATGGCTCCAGTGTTTTGCTACATGGTTCGGGATGCCAGGAGGATTGAACTTGTCAGGACCTGCTGCATTTTACCTTTGTGCAGTGACTGGGATGGCTGACCAATATTCTGGAGTCTTTGAAGGCTACACTGAGGCCTGTAACTGTGTTAGAAAGTAGATGATCCAGCAGGATCATTCCAAGAGTCCAAACATAGACAATGCAACTGCTAATACCACTGTAATATAGCAATCTGACCAAAATCTGCTATGTTCATGAGAGGCCTGGTTTTGAAGGTGTTCGTTGCATCTTCATAAGGGTTGCATGCATAGCTGTGAAGTTGCTAAGATCTTCCTGTACAGATAAGCTTTAGTAACAGTCCCTCTGCAAGCCCAGTGGAAGCAGTTTAAAGCAGATCAGTAGCATACAGAGCTCCATTCTGCAACTATGATCAGCCACCTGTCTTCATCACCATCTTGAGGGAAAACTCAAAATGCCTATGAGTTTCTTCATTAGCTTTTTTTGATGGGAGAAAATAAAGCACAAATTTCATCTTTGTTCAGACTTACAGTTGTAATACAATGCCTCTAATTTCGGCCTGATTGAAAAGAGGGTAAAAACCAGAGAAGCAGAAGGTATTTGACTCTTACACACTCCCTGTTACATATATGACCATACCAGATTAATTATAAATCTAGATTTTGGTGAATAGTTGTTATTCTGGGGTCATATAACTATGTAATGGGAAAGACTTTCTTGGAAATTTGAAAACTCTATGCCATGTTCTCCATGTGTGGTTGTTGAGACATTTCTGTATATTTCTCCTTCTTTTTAAGGGAACAGACTTCCTAGGAAGTTTTAACTTGTGCTTGGTGAAGTGCAGTGTTATTGAGTGTAATACAGAAAATAGGTAAAATAGCCAGTGCTTGCAACATGCAGCTTTGGCAACTGCAGGTCTCTTGCTATCACTATCTGACCTGTCTTGTATTGGTGTTTAGTTAATGGATCAGCAGCCAGACTCTGCAGTGTATCATCACTGGATATACAGCCAGATTTGAAAAATGGAATTCACAGTGGTGTTCAGTGATAAAGTTTCCACCTATATAATATGGTGCTCTGTGAACCTCTATTTCATGCTCTTATTTTAATGCACTAATCAAAATCTGAGATCACTGTCTGTGTCTATTAACAAAGAATACTGCTTTCACAGGGATTAGAAAGGAGAGAACTTTTCTGAAAACCAGAATAGGGCTTATCTATCTTTTAAGTGTCTATAAATTCATGTCAAAGTGTAATAGTTCCAGCTCTGGCTGCTGAGCAGTTTTAACAATCTGACCTTATGTAGTGCTGGAAATAAATTGATGTTTCTACTTTGTCAGTGTTAACTTTCTTGTGAGCTTTTCCAACATCTGGTAACACATTCAACGCTGACACTACTAAAAATGTGTTGAATCAAGTAAAGCTTTTTGAACTCTAAGCACTTTAGTTCTCTATATTATATAATCTCTATGGAAATCAACTTTTTTCTCAGCCATGAATGTGTATGTCAGTTCTATTCCACTGTAGCACTACACAGTCTTTTGAAAGGATGTTGCCTTAGGGTAGAGAGATGCAGAGTACAGAGTTGCTAAAAATATTAGCCTCAAGCTTTAGCTTACCAGTTCTGCAAAAAAATTAGTTCCTTTCACTACAATTACTGATATTTATTACCTTCCACCAGTTTTATACAATCTATATAAAGATTCATATATTACATAAATTTTTATATATATGCCTTATATATGTATATATACACACACCTTATGTATATATACACCTTAAAACCAAAAAAATAAAAGCTTTAAACCCAAGGCAGATTTACTTGCCTCACATAAACTCCATATATTAGATACTACAAAGATATTAGATATAATGAAAACATATATCTAATATAGCATCTATGAACAATGTATAAAAACGTCTAAATAAACACTTTTATTACAAAAGAAACATTGCAAAAAAGCTGTGTCATTATTTATCACCATCTATGGAGTTTATGTGAGGCAACTAAATCTCCCTTATGTTTAATTTTTTTGTTGTTGTTTTAAGGTGTTTGTATTTGCATATTTGATGACAAAAAGCTGGATTCTTTGCTAATAGCAGTTAATAATTTCTTTATGAAATTAGTTTTCCTCTGTTACTACTTTTCAATTCAACGAATGTTGTACAGTTCTAGCTGCCTCCTGCTGTGAGATATCAGGCCTTACATATAAATTTGCTGATCTGATTGTCATATTAAGTAATAATCTCGCAAATAGGCAATAACAAAAAGACTAAGTAAAACTAACTATCGAATCCATATAGCTAATTTATACATGTACAATTCTTCGGGTTTTAGTACTGCTAGTGTTCTGGCAAGCTGAAAGAATTAACATCTTGAAGTCTATTGTCTTCTGTATTCTTCAAGTAACATGGTTTTCATGCATTTTCTCATATTGTTTCATCATATTAGAAACAGATGATGCTAAAGCTCTATGTCTACCAAGTTCTCTTGCTCTCTCTCAAGACTGCCATAAGGAAACTAGAGATGATGTTGTTATACCCTTGACAAGTATGAAATAATATGGTCTCTAAGCAGTATTTTCTACGTTGCCTGGATTATGTTTTATAAGGAATTAATTTATTACAGGTACATAAACAGGTGAAGTGAAGTAAAAGCGTATTGTAAAACATAGTTGCTTTTCGGAAATTAATTTAAAAACTGCTGGTAAGGAAAATAGTCTGTAACAGAATATGAAGTCAAAAGGGTCTGTTTGTTTTGTGACAGTTTCTTGTACATCACATTCAAAGGAATAGTTTATTTATGTATTTTTTAAAGGAAGGGAGACTAAAAGAGAAAGATGAAAATAAAGGTGCCAGTGCTTTTTACTCTGGATTGATACTGAATAATGTTTACTTCCACTTGGTAGATCTGTGAAGGATTCAAGATGCCCAGAGCATAGTGTATTAATCTGATCACAAGAAATGAAAAGCTTAAACCAAAAGCACATTCAGATTTATTGAGGCATTTCAAAAACCAGGTCTGTAACTAAGCGGTTTCAGCAACTGCTAATGAAAGCATGTGATTTTTTTTTCTATGATTTTAGCTGAAAGTTAAGCATGTACAGGAAATTAAGAGGGAGCATGAAGATTTTGAAATTTCATGTTATCATGGTGAATAAGGTGGTGGTGACTGATCTGCAGCAATTTTGTCATAAGCTGGTGGAGCATCAGGTACCTGTGGTAAGGAAAGTTGGTGTGAGAGATTGAAAAAAACAATTGAGGTACAAGAATATAACATTAAACATGCAGCAAGCTATTTACCACTGTATTAGATATGGTTCAGTGACTTAAAATAGTTAAGCTCATTCATTAGGTCTAATTTTGCTAGTATGTTTTCTGGTTTTGCGTCAGATTCATCTTACTGAAACTGTTCATCCAAAGAAAGATTTTTCAGTGTTGTAAAGGCAGGATTTTATTTTTCCTAAAGATATGGGGGGTTTTATATTGGTGACTCAGATAAGTATTGAAGCTTTTCTGTAAGAGGCATGTGCATCTTCTTGGTGCAGGCATGTTGTCTTATTTCTAGTGTTAAAAATTTGAGCAGCTTATTTAAAACTGATTATAAACTGGCCTTTTCCTTATTCTAAAGCCATTTAAACACATCCATTACTTAATATACACTTATCACTTAATTTAACTTTTTGACAGTTAGAAGTTTGAATGTTCATCCCTCCATAATGATTAGATGAGCTAAAACCTTGAAGTTCTATAACATTCACTGACAATGCTTGTCAGAGTATAGTAATACTACACACAGTCCCTTTGTTGTTCGTCAGAATGGCAGAACACCTACTGGAAAATGTTTGGGGGGTTTTCATTATATTTCAGCATTCGAGTGTTAGATCATTCTAATAGATTGCATAATGACCACACAACTTTAGAATAAATGTAAGGGAAAGAAATTAACTTTTTAAAGAATTCTATATAGTACATTTTAAAAACCCTGTTCACAGTAAAAATTGTTCAAAATAGTACTTTCTAAGTTGATATAGAGGCATTGAAGATGCTATCTAGAGAGCACACTGCAAGGAAGAAATCATTAATTGCCCATTTACCAATATTGTCTTGCCATGTCTTACTATGTTTAAGTAAATGAGACCTTGAGTTGCAACTTACCACAGAATTAAAGTTTCTGTACTCCTGGAGAGTCATTTTGCAGTCCAGTATTGCTCCCTCACCTACCACGTTCCGTACTGTGCTCACACTAGAGCTTTTGCTCTGTGACAGATCATAAAGAAACATGGTGAAGATGAAAGGAAGAAGAGACTGTGAAGTTGGGGCAAATTATGCATCATTTAATATTTGACAGCATGTTTACAGTATGTATTAAAATCTGGAATTGGGACCAGACACAATGCAAGTAAGTGAGACGGTTTACCTATCACTTCTGGCTGTCTCTGCTGAGGCATAGTCTTTCTCCTGTGTTATCCAATTACATTGCCAGAAAAATGAACATCACATTTTTTAGGTCCAGAACTACTGCAGGAACTGACATCATCTTATATATCCGAATGCCTCCTCATTTGTATCCTATGCATTTCTTTCTTTAATCTCCAAACTTGGGCGTTTTTTTCTGTTTTCCCAACATTTCTTTTGTACACATTCTGTACCAGTTCTCCCCTAGCCTAAGAAAGATGTGATTTTCAAAACTAGAAAGTAGCAGTCAGCAGTGGGAAGGAATTAAAAAGGAGATTGTGCTTTTTGCCATGATATACAAAACAGGCATTTGGTTTGATTTTTCAAGGGTTTTTTTTTAAGTATTGCCTTTATTTTTGCAACATCAGGTTTTATGTATTTTGCCAATTGATGAATGTATTGGATAGATAACTGGGAAGGGAATTGGACAAAGTTATGGAAAACAGGAAGGAAATGGATTTGATGAGTTTAATGAGAAGTATGCTGGGTTTTTTAAATCCCAAATAATCATATCTTTTTCAAAATGTTAGGATAACTAATAGATACTAAAAAGATACTAAACCAAAGATTTGGATAAAGCCTGGTGCTGGTTCCAGCCGGGGTGAGCTGTGTTTGGATTCATTATGAGAATAATGCTGATAACACAATGATTTGGTTGTTGCTCTTACTCTAAATCAAGGGCTTTTCATTGTCTCATGCACTGACATCAGGTGCACATCAGCTACATGAGAAGCAGGGAAGGAGCATGGCTGGGACACCTGACCTGTGCTGGCCAAAGGAATGTTCCTCACCACAGAATATGCCCAGGATATAAATGAGGGAGTTGACTGGGAGGGGCTTATTGCTGCTAAGGAATGGGATGGGCGTCAGTCAGGGAGTGGTGAGAAGCTGTGTTGTGCCACACTTATTTGTCTTGGGTTTTATTGCTCTCTCCCTCTTTCATTTTTGTGATTAATAGCAGTAGTAGATTAGTAGATGATGATTATATTTTGTTTCAATTATTGAACTGTTCCTTCTTAACTTATGTTTACCTTTTCTTTCCAGTTCTCCTCACCAGGGTGGCAAGGGGAAGTAAGTAAGCATGGAGCTTAGCTGCTGCTTAGAGTTAACAAGTTTTCACTTTAAAGGATTAAAAAAGACCTTCCTTCCACAGGAGAAAGAGTAGAACTTAAAAAATAAAGCTTTCGGATTTCTAACAACAGTTGTTATGAGGAGAATTGTACCTTTTTTAATATATATATATATTTTCTTAGAAGACATGAAGTAGAATATTTTAAAAGTAACATTTAGAAAACAAACCTCAAATCTGCCCTGGTCTTTTCTGTAAATCTTAAAACTGCAAGTCAAGTTTTATAGAGATGAATCGTGCATCATCTGTATGTAAACATATTTACTTAAGTTACTTGTAACAGTTACTTTTATTCTCTGCTTTCTAGATTTAGTCTCAGCATATCTGTCCTTATTTAGGGGTAAGTCTTACGACTTACTCACTGAACTTGTCTTGTTTTGGGCAAATATTAAGTATAATGCTTCCTACAGAAGCATCTTTTCCACTAATGTGTAAAGCTGGGCAGCTGGCTTTATGTCCCTTTGCTTCTGCTTACTCTTACCCCTTTGACTTGCAAGTTCTTGGGGGCAAGTTGTGTTTTATATTGTGTGGGTTTGCCTGTGACAAATGTCAGTGTATATATTGCCTGAGATAGTGACATCCTGTTACAGATTTGATGTTCTCTGCATTAATGTCATTCAAATAAAGGTAATACATGTCAAAATAACAGCATGCTAGAAAGTGAGCTGCCATGCTTACCTGCAGACTTTTGTAGCCACTACGTCTTTTGTAATACCAACAGCCAAAGGCAAGTAAAGTTGCCAGCACCAAAATGAAAAGTCCAATGCCCAGAGCTCTGTTGGGAAAGCAAAACAAAATAATAACACCGCCACTAGATGTATGCTCCTGAGAGCAAAAAAGATTAGAGCACAAGTTTTTGTCAGTGCCCTTTCATCAGAGGAAGGCATGGCATAGAATTTACCTCAGAAAATGGACAAAGTATCAGTAACTTCAAGTCTCTGTAGATTTAGCAGTTAGCTAAGTTCTCTGCCAGGTTCTTAATCATTTTAAGAATAAGAAATATATTTCTTTGAAGATAATACTCTACCAGTGACTGCTGCTTCTGAAAGGATACCTGCCTGTAAATCCAGCAAACAGCATTGCGATATTGGAAGAGAATGTGAAATAAATTAAATGCCACACCTGCAGAGATGGGGGTCATGTTTATCTGCTGAATTTCTCTAGGCAGCAAGTATTGAGAAATTTATCCTGATTTCATCACATTGCAACAACTGCTGGTAGTGGAAGAATTTTTTTGATACAAAAAACACTACAAAACCTAAAATACAACTAAGAAACTTCGAATTATTCATGAAGAGCTCTGTAAGGATTTAGTTCTTGTTTCATGACATGCTGGGCACAGTATTGGTGTCACTGGGTCATTTTAGGGAAAATACACTTAGCAAACTGCTGTGACATCCTTCCTACTGGTCACGGGGGACTTTGGAGAAGCAGCATTCCACTGCCTGTCAGAAAGCAAGCTGACAAAGTAATTGCAAGTTTCCTAGTCAAAAACCCCCTCCTTTCTGTGTTAATATTCTCTCTGCTAAGACATATGGAATTCATTCCCCCTTTTTTTTGTTCTGTTTCTCTTTTTCTTTCAATGCAATTTTTTCACCAGCTTAAAGGATAATGTAGGTTTTGGTTTATGCTTACTCTTCTGCTGCAAAATAGGTGTGTCCTCTGCCTCTGAAATAGTTGCCATGCGGGTGATCGTTTCTTCTGCGCATTTTGTGAGCTTAGTCCTGCTCAGACCTACAGGGTAGAAACACCATGCCTCAGTGTGATAAATAATTTGTAATCTTTAAAGTGTAATATTATCAACTTCTGTGTTTTAACCAGAGCATTTTAGCGAGGCAGGATAATCTGATCTCTTCAAAATCAAGTAGATCCACACACATATGCAGCTGTCTCAATTTAAGACAAAACTCTAACTATAGGCTATAGTCCACATTTTAGTATCTCCAGTGACATAAAGGTATTTGCACCTGACTGTAACAGAGAAGAATTTGATGTCATCTTTTTAGGTACAAAGTGATGGCAGATTTCTGAAGTACAGTCTAGAATACAGAAAGAAAGGCAATTTACCTGGACAAGAAAAACTATTGAGAAGAAAAATTAATACTGTCCTTACAAGTAGCTGTTTATTTCTGTTATTCCCTATAAACAATTAGGGGACACATTTTCAATCACTGTAAAGTCTCAGAGATCTGTTGACATTCAGATGGGAATAGTAATTTATGTTTTCCACAATTGAAACTCAGATGTGCAGGGAATTCATGGTATAATCTTAACTCCCAGTCTTAAGGTGATAATCATCCAGCTCCAAGCTGTCTGAACAGTTAAAAATCTAATTATCAAATATAGTGAAGAAGAAATCCACAAGTAATCATGTTTCTGTCACTTAAAGTGCACAACAGTAGATCCTACTTGATAGTATCCAGCTAAGCTACCTACCTTACACAGGTAAAGTTTAAAATACGACAACTTTACTGAGGACAGTTCTAGCCAAGGAAGAATAACATCTAAGAGTTCACTTAGAGACAGTCAAGCCTCTTCTGGAGCATAATTTTGAAACAAAGGAGAAAATTTTTTGTATAATAAAAATATACAAATCTTTGTGTAGAATAAAAAAACCATACATCTTACCTCCTTCGGATCAGTATTCTGTTAACTGAAAGGCATGTGCAGCTTTCTTTTGCTTGACTTGGTCTGTTTTTTTCTCCTTTGATCTGTTCTCTTATGACTATCACGAGTTTAAATTCCTTTCAGTACAGCTTCTGAATGTGTTAATTAGCATGAAAGGGGAAGGACGCAACTTTTCATTTTCTTCTATGTCCTTCCCTCTTATTAAGCATCAGAAAAATCTGTTATTTCTTGATTTATTACATACTCTGTGAGAGACATCTCAGCACCTTTTTACCTGCCCTTTTTACAAGCTCCTAGAGTGGACAGAGTATTTCTAAATTTAAATGTTTTGATTTAGGGCTGATTATTCTGTGACAGAGGACTGGTATTTTTGCACGTCTTTAACTTTGTTTACGCACACTTTTTACATCATTTTAACACTGCAAACTAGTGTATTTGGACAAAAAACTTATAGGTGGATGATGTTACACTGTGACAGAAATGTCTTACGTTTGGGCAAATACAATTTAATTCTGTACTAATAAGCAAATACTGCAACAAAAAGAGGGTCTGTCCCATGGGCTGCAGAACTAGTAAGACTGGGTTAGGACTTGTAATTCATACAAGTCCTTGGTGTGTTAGCACAGACAATTTGTACAAGTCCATACAAGTCCTTTGCATGGACTTGTATGAATTGCTGGTGCTAACACGGTGGTAATTCCATTTACAAAACCAGGCAAGAAATGGCAGTGTGTGATTGATTCAGAGGTCTGGATACTGTGATGGACAAACAGTCTTAAATATTTTTGAAAGAGAGAGAAGATACAAAACCCATGTTATACTTGTCATTTGACTTAATGAATCATTAATCTGAGCCTCTCTGTCCTTCCACAGGTCTTTTAAATTTGAGGGACTAAAAACTTTTAATAAGTTTTCACTTGTCTTTGAAGCTGTGTACCTAGCTCTAAATGTAGTGAAAACAGCTGACAGACTGAAAAGCAAATAGGAGAGACAAACAGTGTGAGAGACCAACATCCATTTCATTATGAAACCAAGTCTTAACATTGATATTCTTAGCTAGTGCAAGTCTGGGAGGTCAGACCAGTTTTCTGCTTGTGTGTTTTGCTTAATAATGGTAGAAATGTGGTCTGCCTTTAGATATTTTTCCATGGTGGCGCTCAGTGATGGGACCAGAAGCAATGGGCACAGATTGAAACACAGGAGCTGCTCTGAACATCAGGAAACTTTTTTCTGTGAGGGTGACTGAGCACTAGCACAGATTGCCTGGAGAGCTTGTTGGGTCTCCCAGACTGGAGATAGGCAAAAGATGTCTGGACACAGTCATGAGCAACCTCCAGGTGGCCCTGCTGGAGCAAAGGGTTGACCACATGAACTCCAGAGGTGCCTTCCAACGTCAGCCATGCTGTGATTAACACTGGAAAGATCTAGCTGGTTTTGCTGGACCCATTAAACAACACTGTTTTTGTGGAGGAGAAAATGACGGGAACAAAAAGAATGAATAGTGAGGAAAATAAACTCCCTAATTTGGACAAATCATTCAATGCTTTATATTATCCAATTCTTTATATTATACTCAACAGGAGTTTCAAAAGGGGAAGAGATGCAGGGAGGTTTCTGTAGATACCCACACGTGTAAAGCTGCAAGTGGACACTCACAGTCTGTCAAGTTCCCAAGCAACATGTCAGCCCTTGTGCACCCTGAAAATGTCATAGAGCTCCTTATCAAATCATGTGTTTTCCTGAAGAAAAGCTTCATTACTGGGAGAGGATGATAACTGAAGGGCATTGTTTGGTCTTGTGAGAATCAAGACCTAGAGTAAATCCATGTTATTACCAAACCCAGTCTTTGCCCCATACTTGCCTCGAGCAATATATGGGGCAAAATGTCAACTGCTTGAATATTTTGTGTTCTGAATGAATCTCTTGTTAATAGTATAACAAGAAAGGGAAAAAAATAACAACTTTGTCATGGATCTGTGGCACCATCTGGAATGTAAATGTAGAGTGCTGCTAATTGAGGAATTGGATGGATGAGAAGGTGAAACACCACAACCTGGTTCTGATCCCAGGTTTTTTACAAAATCTTAGTTTTCTGAGGTAGTGCTGCTAAATCATTCAGTGTAAAGTCACTGGAATTATGAATGGATTTCACAGGTGTTACCTTTTCAAAGATAACATTTCAGGAGAAGAGGATGGAAGAGAAGGATTACTTGGGAGAAACCCCCAAGTAACTCAAGTTACTTTGGTTTTATTGTGATAGCTAGAACGTGTGGCAAACCCAGGACTCTGATGAATCTTGATCATAAGAATGAAATGAATGCTTCTAGTGTAACTGAAAATGACAGGCTTGACCTTTGAAAAATAGCTGTTGGTTTTATGCTGTTGACATTATGACTCCATATTTCTAGGAGAAAATCCTGGGACTTTTATTAATTTATCTCCCTTAATTGATAATTATTTTTCTCTGACATTTGAGGCTTCCTGCAGCAAACAAAGCAAAGAAATGTAAGTACCTTGACACTTGATTTAGTGAAGGCTTTAGTTTTGAGTTTTATGGGAATTTCAGTGGAAACTCAAAAGTATTTCAGTGCTAAATCTACATTAACAGTAACATAGTACGGTAAGAAAACATTATACTCCTTTCAGTTTCTCCTCAGAATCCTTATTTCTCCCTGATTTGGGTATTTACTTTGAAGTACATATTATCTGGCTTTAAGGCTGAACAGTTCCACTGTAGGCCTGATTTGGAGCTTTTTAAAAAGAAGCTATTCCTCAAACACCTGCTAACTTGACTGCAGGGACCTCCAGGAAGCAAAATGTTGTCCTGTAGACTACCTTGCACAAACACCATTGGTATGTTCATCCTGAAAGCCTAGTTCATCACAGAAAGTCCCTCCTCAAGGAATTTCGAAGTGAACCTCTGGTCCTTGCTGTCAGGCCCATCTCCCTCTGCTGTGTCTCTGAAACTTACAATAAAGAAGGAATGGTCGTCTTAATCCTGTAGTAGCTCTGTCAAGAGGATGACATGATTGCAGTGGTGCCTGTGTGGCTGCACCATGTTTTCCCAAAGAAAAAAGGTTGGATAGCTTTCTGGCGACGTTTTTCTTTGCTCCTGCTTGGTGGTTGACTGGAGGTTCTGAGACCAGGGAATTGTTTTGATTTGTGGTACTTCCTCTGTGGGATGCAGGGTGACCAACTATGGGTGAAAAACTTTTGGATGCAGTTGGGCACTATCAAGGTGAGATTGAATTATGACTTCCCTTGCCTGTAATTTCAGGATGCCATCCCTGGATTTAAGAGAATGGCAGTGCTTTCTGAAGCCTTGCAGTCCTGTTCCCACCAGTAGGTTGATAACTGGTTTGAGGTGAGAAACTCCTTGCAGATGAGCTGCTGATTTAGGCCTCTGAGGCCATCTCTGAAACATTTTGTTTGAAGAAAATTAATATAGTCAACACATCCTTAGGACTTGGATCAAAACAGTCGTTTGCGGTACAACGCCCAGGGTGGTGGTGAAGTCACCATCCCTGAAGGTGTTTCAAAGGCATCCGGATCTGGCTCTGGGTGATGGTTTAGTGGTTCAGAGGGTTGAGTGTTAGTGCTGCGTGGATGGTTGGATTGGATGATCTTAAAGGTCTCTTCCAACCTTGATGATTCTGTGATTCTGAGTAATCCCTGCAGTAACAGTCCATTGAAACTTAACTCGGAATATTGACAGCTGAAGTAAAAGCAGTCCCAAAATTAATACAAACAATAATAGTTCTACTCTGAGCATGAGGAGAGCAGACTTCAGGCTGCTCAAGAAGCTAGTAACTAAAGTGCCCATAGAAAATGGTTTTGTACATTCTGGGGTCCGTCAGTGCTGTTCACACATTAAAGATTACGTCCTGAGGGCACAGGAGCAGACAATTCCAAAATGTTGCAAGTCAAGCAGATGAGGCAGAAGGCCAACTTGGCTGAGCAGGGATCTGCTCTTGGAAATAAGGAGAAAAAGGAAGGTGTATGCCCATTGGAAGAAAGGTCCAGTGACATGGGAAGAATACAGAGATGCAGCTTGCCACGGTAGGGAGAAAATTTTTGCAGCCAAAGCTCAGTTGGAGTTGAACCTGTCAGAAATGTGGGGGACAAGGAGAAGAGTGTTTTTTTTGAAATATATTAACTGCACAAGACAGTGTAGAAATTACATCTGTCCATTACAGGATGAGAATTATCATCTCACAAAAGGGACAGAGACAAGACAGATATTTAATGCTTTTTTTGCCTCTGGCTTCAACACAGATGACAGACCAAGGGGATCTCAGTGTCCTGAGCTGGAAGACTATGACTGCAAGTTAACCCTGGACTTATTTTGGGATCTCGTACTTGAGCTGGATCCCTATAAATCTATGAGGCCTGATGGGATTCATCCAAGAATCCTTGAGGAGCTAACTGATGTCACCACAACACCTCTCTCAGTGCTTTTCAGGTGGTCTTGGGAATCTGGAGAGGTCCTAGCTGACTGGTCCCAATTTTCAAGAATGGCAAGAAGGAGGACCCTGGAACTTCAGGCTTGTCAGTCTCACTTCAGTATGAAGATTATTCTAGGCAGCATTGAAAAACACCTGGAGGACAATGCAGTCATTGGTCACAGCCAGCACAGCTTCATGAGCATAAAGTCCTGCTTACCGAACCTGATTTCCTTTGATGACAAGGTAACCTCCTTGATCTAGAAAATCCACTACATGTAATATTTTGGGGCTTCAGCAAAGCTTTTGATACTTTTCAGTATATATACAGGATACTACCCTCACAGTACCCTTTTGGACAGTTTTCAACACGCAGCTGGATAACTGTGTTACATGATGGGTGAGCAACTGGCTCACAGGTTGGGCACAAAGAGTTATCATCATATCATTGCTGGGCTTTGCGAACGAAGATTTGAGAAGGGCTCTACCCACGCTTGCTACAAGCGCACTGATGGCTAAAAAGGCCAATGCGAGATAGACAAGTCCGGTTGCAGAAGGCACAGCAGAAAGACTCCCCAGGTGATATTGATGAGACGCGATTCTTTCTGCATTGTCTTTTCTCCTCGAGAGTGATCCTGTGTGTGTTCTCAAAAGCAGCAGCAGCGTTATAGATGGTGTGTCTCCAGGCCTCCCGATTGGAGGTCAGAGTAGACAGTGGTGGTGATCAATATGGCCAAGGCTGAGGAATTGTTTCAGGCAGTCCTTGTATCTCCTCTTCGGGCCTCCTCTCTTGCTGCAGCCAGTGGCAAGTTCCCCATAGAGCACGATCTTAGGGAGGCGGTGGTCCTGCATCCTGGAGACGTGCCCTGCCCAGTGTAGCTGAGTTCTCAGCAGCATGGCCTCAATGCTTGTGTTGCTCACATAATCCATCCAGTGGATGTTAAGGATTGTACGGAGGCAGCACTGATGGAAGCGTTCTAAGAGACACAAGTGGTGGCGGTAAATGACCCATGACTCAGAACCATATAGAAGAGCAGACAGTACAATGGCTCTGTAAACACTGATCTTGGTACTTTCCTTAAGGTGTTTGTTTCACCAAACTCTTTTATGGAGTTTACCAAAAGCTCTGTATGCCTTTGCTAATCTGTTGTCTATTTCTTCATCAATCTTACCGTCCGAGGAGATGATGCTTTCCAGGTAATTAAACTGTTGGACTGATTTGAGCTCTGTTTCACCAATGGTGATATGGGGATGATGGGAGACTTCCTGAGGTGCAGGCTGATAGAAAAACTTCTGTCTTCTTCAAGCTGACTTCCAGCCCAAAAAGCTCAGCAGCCTCTGCAAAGCAGGATGTTAAATGTTGCAGAGCTACTTCTGTGAGGGCGACGAGGGCGGTATCATCAGTGTAAAGCAGCTCACGGACAAGATGATTTAAGGTCTTAGTGTGGGCCTTCAGGTGCCTTAGGTTGAATAGGCTCCCATCGGTACGATATCGAATGTAGGTACCATTTTCATCACTGAGGTCTGCCGTGGCCCTTTGGAGCATCATGCTGAAGAAGATCATGAATAAAGTTGGTGCGAGAACGCAGCCTTGCTTCACACCATTGGCTATTGGAAACGGCTCAGAAAGTGTGTCCCCATATCTGACTTGACCGCGCTGGTCCTCATGAAGTGAGATGATCATTTTGAGGAACTCGAGGGGACATCCTAAACATTCCAAATTCTGCCACAGACCTTTTCTGCTCACAGTATCGAAAGCCCTGGTGAGATCAACAAAGGTAACATAGAGTCCTTTGTTCTGTTCCCTGCACTTCTCTTGCAGTTGTCTGAGAACAAATACCATGTCTGTGGTACCTCTGTTGGCTCAGAAACCACATTGGCTTTCAGGTAGAAGATCTTCTGCTATGGTGGGTATT